TTTCTCTGAGAAGGGTTGAGGGGCTATGAGAAAGGAGCCCCGTGCATCCAGTGTTGTTAAAGCTTGCTTAAGCCCTGAAGATTGTGCACTTCACGTCACTTAATTGGCACTTTAGTGTAGCCGTCAAGGTGCTAAGGCATGTGCATCTTCACCAATGGATCTATCTTTAGGGTACAATATCGTATATCAAGCTTAGTTATAGTTTTTCCATTCATTTGTCTAAATAGTTATTGTTTGTGTTGTAGTTATATTTTCTTGCATTGCATTTCTATTTTTTATTTTTTCTTCATGAACGCTCTTCTTTGCTAAAGCCCACACATCAATTGCGCTTTGCGCTTAAAGCTCCAACAAACTTGAGCTCATTTTTGCGCTTTTCACTTTTGACTACCTGCGCGCATCTTAAGTCAAGCTTTAATACCGGCTACTTTTCACCAATTTACTTATCCTTTGTATTTATGTTGCCTTTTCTAGTTGACAATGGAACGTGAAGGGATTCTCAAGAACTCGAAATCTATCATGCCTGCTGCCTTTGTATCGTTTAATTCAAGATGCGGGGCAGCTGTTTGTGCACAAACACAGCAAAGCAAGAACCCCACATTGTGGCTGACTAATTGGGCCCCTGAACCACGAGATGTATATTGGAACAATCTGTCTATATCTTTTTTTTCTCTCAGCCTCCGCAAGCTTTTGATTTCTGTGGCAGTGTTTGCTCTGGTATTCTTTTACATGATACCTATTACCTTTGTGCAATCGTTGGCTAATCTGGAAGGTTTAGAAAAGGTTGCACCTTTTTTGAGACCACTAATTGAATGGTAAGAACTTTTTCTCTGCTTTCAAAGAAGAATGCATATATTGTCTTTCCTTTGGAATGCAGTAGTATTGCAGTAATTTGTTTCATTCTTGCCTTATGCAAAAAGTTGATTTAATGAGGAAATATCAGTGTGCAGTGTCACATCCTGGATTGGCTGGTGATTAAGTTCGCAACCATACTTGTCACGAACACATTACTTACTTTGCACTGATATCACTTTTCAAAATATTTAGCATTTCGCTGGACCTTTTCCAAAATGGATTATCTTCCTTTTTCAGGTTCTTATCGTGCATATATTTCTCTTTAGTTCATCTGCAGGCGCTAAGCAACAGTAAAACCGTAGTGTGCTTTACACATTATAGTTTTTCGCTAGTGCTTATAGTCAATCAGCTGGTTTGATCTCCCTAAGAAATTGCATCTAAGATGATCTTGGTGTCTGACTGCTGCTTCTTTTGATCTTAGCAGATAGATTTCAGATTTCGAAGACACAGTAGGCTTGATGAATATATAATCAACTTTTTTGAGACTAAATTGCAATTTAATAGATTATATTTGTTGTGTATGAATGCCTACTAGTTTATTTAGTATGTCAGAGAAAAGAAAAAGGACTGAGTTATTATATAGAGGTTCTCCTTCAAAAGCTTCTTTTTTTATCCAAATGTGCTTGTTATATATTTCACCGACTCCTGACTAAGTTCGTTTCTTCTGTTTTTATTTACTAGAAGTATTTTAATTCTTCATATCTGCATTTATTGTATTTTTTCAAAGAGTTACTTGTGAAGCAAAATTTCTGGAAATGGTTGCAGGAAGATTATCAAGTCATTTCTACAGGGTTTTCTTCCTGGTTTAGCTCTTAAAGTCTTCTTGCTTGTTCTTCCTGCCATTCTGATGTTTATGTCAAAGATTGAGGGACATGTGGCGTTATCAGTGCTCGAGAGGAGAACAGCAGCAAAATACTATTATTTTATGCTAGTCAATGTATTCCTGGGGAGCATAGTAGCAGGGACAGCTTTCCAGCAACTTCATGCTTTCCTTCACCAATCAGCTACTCAGTACACACACACTCTCTCTATCTCTCTCTCTCTCTCTCTCTCTGCTCATTCTCATAGTTCACAAAATCATGATGACTGCACTATGGTCATTAGCTTTTGACACATGATAGATTAGATTGGTCTCTCAATGAAAGATGTATACCAGTGTGTGGGACATATTAATGCTAACCTCATTCTTTGATGATGTGGAATTATCTATGTAAAGTTCTCACAATGGCTAAGACTGTGAGACATAAAACTAGAACTTTTTTTTGAATGTTAACCAACACATGGTCCAAGTCGAAGCAGCGACACTAGATTAGATCAAGTATTGAAGAGAAGAAATCAAGTATTGTGTGATCTTTGAAGTTTTCAAATTAAGCTTATTGCTGGAGAGAAGATTTTTTCTGTCATATGCCTTAGCTCTGTTGACACATCCAAGTATTATAATACAGTATGCAGTATGCCAAGTGCGTGAAGCTTACTGATGCTTATTTACAGCGCGCTTTTGAACCTCTTGGAGTTCATCTCTAGAAGTTTTTCAGTTTTATGCTTCTTACACTTCCTTATACAAAAAAAAAACACAAAGAGGCTTATTAAACGTACCTAGTTGACCTTGTGTTGTGTAGTTGAACGTAAAATCTGGTGAACTTGTGTTATGTTTCACTGCATTTTTGGAATGTTTTAAAATTCTTGATTTGCTGTCATTTACTTATTTTTTTACCTCCAATAACCTTGATGATATTCTTGCGTCAGAATGGAATGTTGAGTTTATAATAGAACTTGGGTTGTCTTATAGCCAACATCGTCATAGCATAATCAAATTCCATATGGGCCTTCTGGACCCTCATGATGCTTTCCCCTTCAAAAAAGATAATATGCGCAACTGAGGAATCAACTGTATTGTTTTTTCATTTTTTTTTCTTGATAAGGTAAAGGTTTCATTAATAAGGTACCAAGATGGTACAAAAAGTTACTACTGTATTGTTTTTCTCATTTGCTTTCTGCCCCTTGGTGTAATTTATGGATTGTTATTTTTTCAAAATTTATATTAGATGGAGTACCATTTAAAATACTGATATTAATTAGTAAGACATTAAATTGAAGGGTGCAAAGTTGGAGAAAAGAAAAAAAGATTCTGTAAGATTTTTGTATATAGTTGCTGTTAGCTCGAGAAAAGAAGTGTTTCTTTACTAGTGATAAATATGTAAATACACTTTCTGATACAGAAGTTCCTTTCTGTTCTACAAAGCTGTTTCCTTGAGTTTTATAATCTTTCATGCAGGATACCGAGAAATATAGGGGTTTCAATACCAATGAAAGCAACTTTCTTTATCACATACATAATGGTTGATGGTTGGGCTGGTATTGCTGGTGAAATTCTCAGATTGAAACCTCTGGTTATTTTTCATCTTAAGAACATGTTCCTTGTGAAAACTGAAAGGGATATGGAGAAGGCAATGGACCCTGGTAGCGTAGATTTTCCCGAGACGCTTCCAAGTCTTCAACTGTACTTTCTTCTGGGTATAGTCTATGCTGTGGTTACTCCAATTCTTCTTCCTTTCATACTGGTTTTCTTTGCCTTTGCGCATCTTGTTTACCGTCATCAGGTTCGTCCTTGCCCTTTAATTCCTTTTCTTTTTAACTTGTTGATTTGCTTATTAGCGTTTTTAGAGTCCATAGCCGGGAGGACGTCGTTTGTACTGAACAAAAGAGCAATCCATTGTGTTGGTAATAACTTTGACTAACCGAAGGATTCTTGTGGCAAATTATCGGAAAGGTAGTTTGAGTGTCATAATGATAGTTCTACTGAGTGTTGGAACTGATATATACCAGTAACAATTTATAAAAGTTTTCAGTAAATAGTATGATGAACTTTATCATACTCAAGAAGATAGCTTTATATGAAAAACTTTATCTTCAATGGTTTTCTGATTATTAGTTTGTGTTTCATACAGGTAATCAATGTGTATAACCAACGATATGAAAGTGCAGCTGCTTTTTGGCCCCATGTTCATGCACGCATTATTGCAAGCTTAGTGATATCTCAACTGCTTCTGATGGGTCTATTGAGCACAAAAAAAGCTGCAAAGTCCACTCCATTTCTTGTGGTGTTACCTCTTTTAACCTTAGCATTCCATAAGTACTGTAAGAGTCGGTTTGAACCTGCATTCAGAAAGTATCCGGTTGAGGTAAGCTTCAATTGCTAGTTGTATATAAGTCTTTGGGAACATTTCTTGTAGAGCATGGAGGCAATTTTTCATGATCGCANAGAGCACGGAGTCAATTTTTCATCATCTTTTAACTAGATGAAAAGAAAAGCGAGATGCCCTACCTTCTTTTTCCTATGCTAGATGCCCTACCTCAGCTTTGTTGTTCTTTACCTGATCCCTGCTTAAATATGGTTTTATCTTAAACAATCAATGATTTGAGTAGTGATAAATTGTGTGACCACCTTATCCAAAAGGTTAAGTTGCCTGAGGGAACACACTTTTATTTATTTAATTATATATTTAGTGTGCCTGCTAGTGCGCAGGGCTGTTTCCTTTTCTTAATTGGCCAAGTATGTGAACAATTCTTTTTGATAGTAGTGGCGGTGAGACATGAACTAGGACCTTTGTCTGTTTTGATACCATATTGATTTGTGTGGACACCTTATATAAAAGCTTAAGCTATTAGAGAAACACACAATTATTTATTTAATTATATCGCCAACAATAGTAATGGAAATATATGCCTCTATGTTCTCATGCTTTTCAGGAAGCGATGGAAAAGGACTTGCAAAACCGATCTTCTGAATCTGATGCCAACTTGAAAGCATACTTGGCTGATGCATATCTGCATCCTATTTTCCGCTCATTTGAAGAGGTTGAATTGGATGAAGTTAAAGTCGACAAAAAGCCACCTCCCAACAGCTCAAGCCCCCCGCTGAGCGAACTTAGTTCTCCATCTCCAACTCATCACGCGAAACATCATGAAGAAGATGAGCCATCTCAGGTGTCTCAAACATCTCATAATGTCCAGCATTATGAAGTTGGACAACCTGGGGACTTGTTTCACTATGAATATGAACAATCCAATCACATATATCACTATGATGTCGAGTCACACCATCAACATGAGTCACAATATCACCATAACGGATATCATTATTGAAGGTTTTATCCTTTAGTTTGACTGATGTTTAGCGACTCAATTGCCCTAACCGCCATACTTAGCCCAGCTTAACATTTGCTAACCAGGTCATGCCCCTTTAGTTGCAGTTTTTGTCCATCAATGTAAATGCATTTGGGCTACTTTCATTTTCTTTTCGAATTTCGTAGAGAAGTTAATACATGTGTTACATGTCTTATATTCCTCTTTGTTGAGAAGAAATCATTAACAGCAATCAGACATGAATACAAAAGGTGGATTCAGGATTTTAACATGTTAAAATTCTTAACGTTGAATTCATTGTACTTTTTAAATTATGGATTCAAATCTAATATTTGTTGACATTTTTGTGAATTCACATAAAAGATGTGATACTGATTAATAGATGTGATAGAGATTCAAGTTAAAGCGCTGATCTCGATCATTACAAATAGTATTTGCCGCTGATTAATAGATGTGATAGAGATTCAAGTTAAAGCGCTGATCTCGATCATTACAAATAGTATTTGCCCCTGATTGATAGATGTAATTGAGATTCAAGTTAAAACGCTGATCTTGATCACTACAAATAGTATTTGCCGCTGATTAATAGATGTGATACTGATTAATAGATGTAATTGAGATTCAAGTTAAAGCGATGGTATCAATCACTGCAAATAGGTACTTTTCCAGAGAGTCCGGAACCAAAATATGGTTCTTTTGGACTCAAAGAACCAAAATGTGTGGGGGAAAAAACTGGTAACCAAAATATTATAACGCCCTAGCTAAAGGCGCTTTACCTTAACGACCGTTTGCCCAGTTAAGTATAACGCCCTTATATAAGGCGCTATATTTGAACCTGAAATGAGCGGAAAGGCATATCTCCTTATAATAAGACGCTATAGTATAACGTCTTAATAAGGTGCTATACCTACATAAAAACGCGTCCAGTTTCCTTCCCCAAACCAGAAAAGTCCCCACCCCCATTAAAAAACTCAAAATAGCGGTCCCCCCATTGTTAAGGAAAAAAAGCTCGAGTGGAGTCCACCGGTACCACAAAAAGTATAAATTCTCGGTCCCACATCCTAGTTAAGGCGTTATCTCACAGTGGGTTGCTCGTTTCGGCTCCAAATTTTCAAGTTTCCAAAAAATTAAAATTGAGGTATTCCGATTTAGTTTTTGTTAAAACTCATGTATAAAAAATGCCTATTAGTTAATTTTTTACTGTGCTCTATGTTATTTCGTGATTGTTTTGCGATTTAATTAATTTGTTATTTTTTATCCGGACTATATTATTAGTGCGCTAAAAAAATTAGTAAAATAGAGAAGTTGTTATTAGTTGTTAAAAAAATGTTAATTAGTTACTTATAACATTTTATATGTTTTTTCATGATTTGTTTGTGATTAAATTAATTTATTATTTTTATCCAGTTTAGATTATGTATTTGCTAAAAGACTAGTAAAATAGATAAATTGTTACTTTAGTTCCCTGTAGTGGTATCTTGTGCCCTAATATAGTGCTTGTATTTGTAATGTAGTGCCCTTTTAGCATAGTAAAATATAGTGCTTTTTAGCGTAGTATCTTTGTAGTTATTGAAATTAATCATTAAGTATCTGTTAAACCCAAAATATCTCAAAAAAGCTGATAGTTCAAAATACAAACTCTCTCCAATTCTAGTCAACAAACGTAAGAAAATAATATGAGAAAACAACAATATTGTCAAACTAAGTATTGTCATATGAATATTTAATAATTAAATCAATAACTAACAAATTTATTTTATTATAGTAAAAAATAGGTGAGTAACAAACAAACATATAAAATAATAAACTATAAAATAATAAACTAACACATAAAATAATAGACCCGTTGAGTAATAAATTGGTGAAATTTTCTCATCATGAACACAAGAACATTGGATTTCTTGGTGCTACTGGGCCTCAAATATCGAGTCCGAAATCAAAATGTGGTTTATTTGGACCCAAACTAAGTATTGTTATATGAATATTTAGTAATTAAATCAATAACTAACAATTTAGTTTTATTATAGTCAAAAATAGGTGAGTAACAAACAAACATATGAAATAATAAACTAACATCTAAAATAACATACCTGTTGAGTGATAAATTGGTGAAATTTTCCTTGGTGCTACTGGGCCTCAAATATCGAGTCCGGAATCAAAATATGGTTTATTTGGACTCAATATAGTAAAAATAAATCGAATAAATTTTAATATTAAAGATATTATAATATATTTAAAGATGTTAAGCAATGAAAAAGAAAAATACTTTAATTAATATTGTTCAATTTACAGTAGTCATCATGGGTGTTCCGCCTGTGCATCTGGGACCTGCCTCGCTAGAGCTACTATTGCTACAAGTCGAGCATAGGTCTTCGTACATATGGGAGGGGCAGTTATTGGCCCAGACGTTCCGTGCTAGACTAGTAGACGATATGTGAGACTTTCTTAGGGCCCACCATCTCCATCCCCGCATAGTCAGATGCCTTCAGGATACAGGTTTTTATAGGATTATTGAATCAACCGGTTGCAGCTGGATTGGTTGTTGATCACGTCTTTGATAGAGCGGTGGCGACCGGAAACGCACACATTCCATTTACCCATTGGCGAGGCTACTAGCACGCTTTAGGACGTGGAGGTTCTGTATGGGCTGCCGGTTGATGGTCATCCTGTAGATTTACCGCATGCTATCAAAGATTATACGAGAGTGGAGTACCTGGAGATGTTGCAGCGGCTCACCGGTTTCCAGCCAGCGAATGATGCTGCATTGAGTGGGGCTAGTCGTCTGTAGTTGATGGCCAGACGGCTAGATCCGGAGGCGATGCATGCGGACATTACAGATGATACATCGGATCTTCATATTAACGGGTACACGGGATTGTTGATACTGCTTATGTTTGGAGGGGTATTGTTCCTGAACACTTCGGGAAACTTAGTCAGCTTGAGATTTCTTCATCATCTTGAGCGGTTAGATGATTTACCTAGTTACAACTGGGGTGCAGCTGTTCTTGGTTACTTATACATGCAGATGTGTCGGGCTAGCATGGGCACCCAGTGCGACGTTGCCGGATTTTTGCCGCTGCTGCAGGTGAAAACATAGTCAATTATTTTCATGATTATTGTATAGTAAAAATATGCCTTAAATTTTACATCCAAATTGTATATTAGGTTTGGGATTGGGAGCGGTTCCCGTAGTTCCAGCCACCTCTACCACCCATCGCTCCGGGTGCAACCTCCACTGTTTCTCCCTTTAGCTAGGAGGTGGGTTGATAGGCGAGGATACAGATGCGAGTACGAGGCTCGATATAATCTCCCCTATTGTAGGGATTTGTTGGATTTACTGGAGGCCGCGCAGGTAAATGTATACTTAAGTTTACTTGGCCTGGCTTTATATGTGTTGTGTATACTCACGGTTCCTGTTTTTATGTAATAGTTCATTTGGAGGCCATACAACGACGAGCTAATAAATGGTTTGCCCGATTATTACTCGACTGACTGACTTATGTGGAGCTCTTCTGTCCCGTTGATGTGCCTCGATATTGTCGAGCATCATACCCCGAGCAAGTCCTTCACCAGTTTGGTCGACCGCAACTTGTACCTCCACCGCTCGCTTGGATTAGGACAAATTACCAGCGGGATGATCGTTCTAGGGTTGACTAGACATATGTGGCATGGCTAGAGGCGCAGATCGAGATTTGGGACCAACGGCTTGACCTCATTCCGCCACCCCTTCACCTGAGCGTATGGATGGTGAGAATGAGTATATGGGCTGGTACCGCAGCATTACCCGACTTTTCGTCGGGAATCCCTTTCATCGCGCTGGCGGTCGGTTCGTTCCATATGCCGGGAGGCATGAGACACTGGTATGTTATTTTGTATACTTAGTTATAATGTTAACCAAGCATTCCGTAATTAATATTTTACATGTTGTGCAGGCTATTGGCCTACATATATTCTACCAGTTGGGACTGTAGATGCAACAACATACCGGTGAGGGAGCGACTGCTTTGCACGGGTATGGCTGGCAGGTTACAGATTTGGCTTCTCGAACATTGAGGCGAGCTTGAGATGATGAGAGTTTAGGATACGAGGTTGATTATATGGTGCCAGAGCAGTATTATCGTGGGTCAGCAGTGGAGCCTGAACATGGTCGATGTAGCAGGCGTGCCTAAAGAGGTAGGGGTGTTCCACGAGGTTGTGGGGGTCGGCGAGGAGGTGGTCCCCATCAAGGGGGCGTTGAGGCACCTATTGAGGATGCTGGAGTTGATCAGCTAGATGACCGCCCTGAGCCAGACCATGCTCCTAGTGATATGCCGTCATTCAACCTGCAGCTTACTCCAAGGACTTCGAAGGTGACCCCGTCAACTGCATTGTTGATCGCGGGCACTTCCATTACGCGACAGGAGTGGGATCAGTATTTTCCTACCCCTCCAGAACCATCGATGGTTGCTGATGATTGTCCAACATGATATGTAGATAGTAGGTGCCGACTGAGTTATGGCTCATCATCGGGGGATGCTGAGTATCTTTCACATGATTTGGTTCGTTAGTATTACTATTATTTATAGTTGTATTTATCTCATTTATTAGTTATAAATATCTAAAGCCTTTTTTTAAGGCATCATCCTCGCCCGTCACGGAGGTCACTTTGTGCGATACTGACATGCCTGAGATGGATGATTATATTCGGATCCCGCCGAGACCATGGTAAGACAATTTAAATTTTTTGACTTAACACGTACATTACTAATATATATTTCATATACTAAAATATCTTATTATTTTGTAGGTTACCGTTGGACCGACGACCCCTTCTATCGAGCCTGCCAGCCTTACTGACTAATATGCTGCAGCGCATCCTCCGATAAAGAGGCGACGTGATAAGGATGATCCTGATAGTGTAGCCGGGTGAGATGGGATGTGCCTCAGGCCAGCGGTTGCTTTAAAGCAACAGGCTGCGGGACACATTGACTTTTTATTGGTTTTATGTGCATATGACATTTAGTAAATAATAGCAACATTATTTATGGTTTACATTATATGCGCATTATAGTTTTATTTCTCGGGTTCTTTGTTATTTTAATACTACAACACAGAAACAAACATAGCAACTTAACATAATTTAAATTCGGTACAACTAATGAAAATACATGACACGGAAAATATAAAGATAAAATACTACACTCAACACATACATGTATTTGTTTAGTCTCTATCGCCCATTATTCTCTGCTTCAACCACTTTAATTTCTCTTCCAACCTATTTTTTTCTTC